TTTGAATCGGGTCGGATCGGATCGGATCGGCTTTTTACATCTCTAGGGCTATATATATTTGGTATCCTGCCACTATATGTGTTCAACGTCCATCACTTTCTTTAGCTGAAAAGGCTTGTCAAGGACAATGTCAATGTCAAAGTCGACGTTATTAGTTGTTCGTAGGCAATTGAGAAGCGTGTAAGGGAATGTATTGATCACGTAGGCAAATCTATGCAATTGCACGAGTCATAGCTTATGAGGCTCCTACTAGGCTTTATTATTATTTGTCGCACGATATATATCTATTAATCAACTACGTGGACCTTACTATTAAATTATTTATAAGACGTACAAATTTTAGTCAATTTTCTTATAGATTACTCTATTAATGACATACATGTTTTTGACACAAATGACATACATGTTACATTGCAATATATGTATAATAATAAAATTATTATTATTAATAATATGGTTGCATGTATTGTTGCACTTGCGCATGAACATACAACTAAAAATATTCGGGGTCGTGTTCACAAGTAATAATTATTTTAAGATTTAATATTGCTATTTCTATTATTTATATGAAGTATAGTTTAATGTAAATGCTATTTGAAGCATATCTAAACTAGTTCATCTGATTTTGGCATTGTAAGGGTAATCATTTTTTTTCCCAGCAATTTAGTTAGCTAAGCATGTCGATTTAAATAAAGTTTACAAATAATATTAATGCAGAATATGACGTTCTCTTCACCGGAAATAAGATGTTTATCTACGAAAACTTTATAAATATTATTTGATCAAGTCTAGTTCTTAATAGAATAGTTTGGTCAAATTTGATATGATGTCTTAATTGAACCTTTATCCAGACACTAATCTAAAGGTAAATATGAAGTATATCACTAAGTAGGAGCTTAATTATTAGATACGTCTCAAAATATATAATTTTCAAAAACCTCATTCTTATACATATAATTATTAAAATTATTTAATATTTTGTCATCTTTTAACAAAATGGTGGTCTCTAATATAATTTCTTTAACTCATTTTGGGCTAGTTAGTTGAGTCCACAAAATAAAATATACGAAGTAATAAAGTGTAATATTCTTAAATTTAATCATCATCATGTGCTTATCCTAAAATATTTGTATGTTAATTTTATCACCTGAAATCAACAAAATCATTGCTACTATTTCTCTTAATATATTGTGCCCGACCTAATGGAAGTTTATCTGGTGAATGTGCATTGGTAATTAGGGCTAGGGTTATGATTGGGGGCGATTGGGGGTCTTTATGCGGTGGGGGAGGTAGTTTAGGGATTTTGGATGGATTCTAATTAGGGTTACGAGATTGGTGGTTTTGGGGATTGAAAAGGGGTGTCGGGAAGGGGCACTGATAGGGGGGTGGGTTTTGGTGGCGACGGGAGTGGGTTTTAGAGGATAAGGGCTCCAGAATGGGGTTGTAGGTGGTAGTAGGGAGGTGGTTCATGGCTTCGTGGGTGATGGCTGCTTTGGGGTTTTTCTTAAATTTTTTTTAAAAAAAAAAAAAAAAAAAATCTTTTACCAACCAATCACATGGTGACACGTGCCACCTGAACTTGTTGATCGGTTTGGACCATTTTAAGCGAATATTCCCCAAAGTTCGGATTATTTTGAGCGAAAAACAAATGTTGGGATTATTTTTACCAAATTTTCCTAATATTTGTTCCCAAAATAAAAAATTTATTTTTTAAAAAAATAATTAAGGACGCACTAGAAGGTGACACGTGTTATTGCTGGTATATTTTTTAGTATATAGTTATCGATTGATTGTAGATTGCAAAGTTTTTTTTATATATATTTTTTTATATATTTTTATTTTTTTAGTTTGATGTATATTTTTTGGTTTCAATAGTTGGAAAATTTGCAAATTGCAGGCGTTTAAAGTTAGTATTTTGCAAATTACGGCCATTTAAAAAAAAAATTTGCAAAATGCAGCCTAAAATTTCTTATAAATTGTAAGTTGCAGCCCGATTCAACTTTTTCATCAGTTTATGTGTCGAAAAATATTCGTTTAAGGTTTTAGGGTTCATTTTAGTTCTTAAGGGTCTGACTTGAGCTCGGAATTAGCAAAAAATAATGTAAGTGCCTCGTTTTTACAGCAAAAATATAGTTGTCCACAAATCGATACATTTTTGCTACGCAAAACGAGACACTTACGTTATTTTTTTTACTAATTTCGATCTCAATTCGGACCCTTAAGAATTAAAATGACCCCTATAACCTTAACTAAATATTTTTCAATGCGTAAACTAATGAAAAAGTTGATTGGGGTTGCAATTTACAATTTATACAAACTTTTGGGCTGCAATTTGTAATTTTTTTTTTTAAAATGACTGCAATTTGCAAAATATAAACTTTAAATGGCTGCAATTGGCAAATTGTCCTCAATAGTATAACAAGATTAACTTTTAGAAGTACAAAAAATTGAACAATTTTCTTCCTTGGAAACCCTGTCAATGGATTTACTAATTAAAACCCCATTAAATATTTTATGAAATTACCAAAATACCCTATGACACCTGTTATACATATGCTCTTGTGTAAAGTATAATAGATATTTGACACGTTTGTTTTATGTTTGTTTTATCATATCTGCCAACGCACAAATTCAACAATTAACAATATTAATATCTCTAATGAACAGGTAAAAAGTTTAAAAAGTTGATATTATGATGAAAATTTGCACTAAAACGATTCAAATAAGGCTTCATATGAATATTATATATTTACATTATACTTATAAACAAAAAATAGTCAAATTTAAAGTTATGAATAGTATATAAAGTCAAGACATGTCAATTAAAAAATAATATGCAGGTATATCGTATATATACTTAAGTGCTTAAACGTATATAATTTTTTCGGCTATTTCATCAAATGCCCTGAGTAATTTTTTTATTCACCATATACCCATAACAATTTTCAAATTCACGATATACACTTGAGTTTCACATAATTATCACCAAATGCCCTTATTGACTAACGGCAGTTAACTCCGTTAGTCATTAAGGCTAACTACGCCACGTGGCGGCTTATGATTGGTTGCTTATTAAATAAGTAAATTAATATATAATAAAAAAAATTAAAATTTTTTTTTTAAAAAAAACTAATCCACCACAGCCCACAACCACCGCCACTGCCACCACCAGCCTACCCCCACGCCGCCACCACTAACCTGAAGCCCCACGACGGCGACCTTGCCCAGCTGCCCCGCACCGGCGACACAACCCAACCACCTTTCTCCCTCAAAAATCCACCCTCTTCTCCCTCGAAAATCCCTCCCCTCCACCACCGGCGTCCAAACCTCCCTCTTCGTACAGGCGAACCTAAACCACGTCTTCCCCTTCCATCTCCACCCCCTAAACCACCTCACTGAAGCCCCCAAAAAATAACCCCCCCAAAATCGAAACCCCAAATCTAGGGTTTCGATTTTGGGGTTTTAGGGTTTCGGGGGTGGTATTTTTTGGCTAAGGTGACCGACGGCGACGTGAAGGATGAAATCTAGCTGCCGGTGACGGGTTTCGGGGAATGTTGGTTGCGAATTTGGGGTTTTGGAATCCGGGGTTGCGAATTTGGGAGTTTGGAATTGGGGGTTTCGGGGTGGTTGGTTGCGGAGAAGGGGTTTTGGGTTAGGGAGGGGAAACGGAGGGAGAGGGGGCTGGGGGTAGGGGTTGGGGTGTCGAGGGTGGTGGGGCTGGCCTCGCCGGAGACCGGCGCCGCTTTCGGCTGGGAGCTGGCGGCCGCGGCCGGCGCCGTCTGCCAGGGGCTGGTGGTGGGGGTATTTTTTTAAGTTTTTTTTTTATATTTTAAAAGTATTTTTAATAATTAATTTATTTATATTACAACAACCAATTAGAGGCTGTCACGTGGTGTATTAGTCATTAATGACTAACGGTGTTAACCGCCGTTAGTCATTAAGGGCATTTGGTGAATTTTTTTTAAACTCAGGAGTATTTGGTGAATTTGAAAGTTTTGATGGGTATTTGGTGAATAAAAAAATTACTCAGGGGCATTTCATGAAATTTCCGTAATTTTTCCCTCTTTTTATAAGATGATTTTTTAGAAGTGAGTAGACAAGGAAGGAAATATCAAAGGTATACATAGAAAGAAATCAATCTTTTGGAGATTTATTGATATATTTCCTTTTGATAATGTCACTCTTTCCATATAAAATAGATATTTTCTTTTCTAAACTAAAATCGTTTAAAATTTCCATATATATATATTAGCACCTTATAAAATTTCCACTAATTAAATTAATTGCTAACTTGAAAAGTTGTTAATTTAAATAAGTGAAGTTCAAGGTTATTATAAGTTAAGTTTTGGAACAATAAGGATTATACTTTTAATACTAGCTTAACTCATAATTATTATAAGTTTTTTCAAATAAGTACAAATCATAATTTCACTGAAGAGAAAATTGGATTAAAAAAAGTGATATTACCTACCAATCCCTAGCTCAATATTAATAAAATTTTCTATTTTCCAAAAAAAAAAAAATTTAATAAGATTTTCATAATCCGCTTTCTAATAATTAACCCGCACGTGGTGAATTATATATAAGTTACTAATGCGAGTTTGCTTAAATGGATAATTGAGTCACCCTAAATAATTGTATCATCGTTAGTATTTTGTTGGTTATTTAACTAGCGGTTTTCAATAAACACAACTATTTATGACTGTATTTGATGCCACTGTAAGTGTCGTATGACTATAACTAACGGACCCTATCGCTCATAATTTTTTTTTAAAAGAATTCCCAAATTTATCACTCCAATAGTCACTCCAATAGTCACTCCAATAGTCTAATCTAATAGTAGAAACAATACTAATCTAATGCATAGATGATCAAATAAGAAATCTCAAGAAGTAAACATTGCCTACTTTAATTTGACAATGACATAATATAAGCTTCAATGATCAATCATTATCACTTATCAGTCATAAAAACTGCAATATTGGCTAAACAAATCAATCATCTTGTTCCTCAATTTGTTTTGTTTTCTCTCTCCTCATCTACATTTTTTTCAAAACTTAAAAGATTTCCCAGTAAAATAATTACGAAAATTTAAATAAATAATTGCTTAATTTTTTTTTTTTTTAATTATTAAGAACTGCTCAATTTAAACTTGGATATTACAAGTTCCCACGATTACGTCTTCTCAATAGACGACTAATTAAACTCTTTGCTCTAACTTTCATCTATTTAATCCGTAACATTTCTATTTCTAAATTCTCCATTTTTCTTCCAAATTACCCTTCAATTTTTCTGGGTTTTTATTCATTTATTGAATTTTATTGTTAATTGATCCAATTGTTGGGCTAATTTATCTGGGCTCACCCCAGTTCATGTAACTGGGGGAGCTAGCATCTCAATTATTCAAGGTATGTATGCATTTTTTTTGTTATTCAATCAACCAATCACATGAATTAACCTCTTATTATTTCAATTTAATCAATGTGAACATGTTTAATTAAAATCACAACAATAATTGCTTTTTGATTTGTTACCATTTCTGGGTTGATTTTGGTTTGTATAATTGCTAACATTTTTAATGGAGATGATTTCATAACGGTTGTCTCTTTCTCTCTCCTACTGGGGTGATTCATGTGTGTTTAGTTGTATAAATAATCACCCTCATTATACTGCATTTCCCACAAAAAATTTAATTAATTTTCTGGGTTATCATATAGGTAAGCCTCTCAAATTAAGCTTTTTTCAGTAGAGTTTGAATCTTAGTTTTGCTGCTACATTTTTGCACTAAAAAAAAAAGCTGAATCTTTTTATCAAAAAATTCAGAATCTGTTGATGTTGATGGTCAATTCTCAATTTCCTCCTTTTTTTTTTCCATTAAAATTATTTGAAAAGTTTTTTGAAATTATTCTATTGAAATGTGTATTCATCTGATGGTTTTGTAAATAAATGATTTAAATTGTTTATTTTTAGGTTGATTGTCAATTCCCAATTTTTTTCCCTTTCAATAATTATTTGAAAGTTTTTTTTTTAAAAATTAATTCTCTTGGAATGTATAATTATCTAGGCAGTTCTGTATACACTATGCAGAGTATATTTTGTTATTCAATACTGTATTTGATTGTCAATTACCGTTAAAGATTTCATGAAAGTTTTTTTTAGAGAGAAAAGTACTAGTATATATGGTTGAACTTTATTTTTACCTAGGTGGTTATGTAGATTGAGAAATGTTTTGATGAAAGAGAAATGTTATTTTTATGTAGCTGTATTTTTACTTTGTTTTATTTTATGCTGATTGTGATTTCCCATTTCTTATTTTTTCCATTAAAAATATTCGATATTTTAGTTCAAAATTTATTATATTGAGATGTATAATTATCTGGGTGGTTCTGTAAATAGAGAAAAATTTATCAATTTGTAATTGTTGTTTTAATATTTTATGTTGATGGTCAAAAATATGAGATTTATTTTTTAATTTATATGTTGAATTGTATATATATGAGCAATTTCAAAAAAAAAAAAAGTAAATTTTATTATTATTATTTTTGTTTTTTAAATTTGTTTTTCCTTTAGTTTTGGAGGAATTGAGTGTGATTGATAACATTTAAAAGATCTCTGTTATTTTTCAATTTATTTGTTTTGAGATTAATGGTTGACCATTTTTGATAGGTTGACAGAATTGTGAGCTCTTACAAAATGAAGGGTGCTGTATTTGTTGCTCTGGCTGCTACCATTGGTAATTTCCTACAAGGGTGGGATAACGCGATGATTGCTGGTAACATAGCTTGCCCTTTTGCTGTAGTCTGCAATTAAAGATTCAATTTTTTTTGTCTACATTTTAAAGTATGTTTTGGTTGAAGTTGGTTGGATTATCTGTTCATTATTAGTTTTCTTAAGCATTGTTATTTATTTTTATTTTTTTATTTACTTTTTTTAAAAAAAAACATTGTTATTTATTTTATTTGATCTATCTAGTCTTTTGAATTTTGTGAAACATGATTTTCTTACGTGATATTGATATAGGGGCTATTCTTTACATCAAGAAAGAACTTGAACTATCGACTTCAATGGAAGGACTTGTCGTGGCAATGTCTCTCATTGGAGCCACTGTTATAACAACATGCTCAGGGGCTATATCAGATAGTATTGGTCGGCGTCCTTTGCTCATACTGTCTGCATTATTTTACTTTGTGGGAAGTTTGGTGATGTTGTGGTCACCTAATGTCTATATTTTGCTTTTAGCAAGGTTGTTGGATGGTTTTGGAATAGGGTTGGCTGTGACCCAAGTTCCTGTCTATATTTCCGAGACTGCACCACCAGAGATTAGAGGATCTTTAAACACACTTCCTCAGTTTACTGGCTCTGGTGGAATGTTCTTATCATATTGTTTAGTCTTTGGGATGTCACTCATGGCATCGCCTAGCTGGAGAATAATGCTTAGTTTTCTTGGGATCCCTTCGGTTTTTTATCTTTTGTTTGCGTTCTTCTACTTGCCTGAATCACCAAGGTGGCTTGTCAGCAAGGGAAGGATGTCTGAAGCGAAGAAGGTTTTAATGAGATTACGTGGCAAAAAAGATGTCTCAGGTGAATCTCTTACTTAATTTTTTGTTTATATGCTGTATATTTAACATAGTTTTGTCCTTGTTTTTAGATTCAAGTAGTGTGTAAAGAATCTAGCTATACCATTCAAGAAGACCTGTGTGATATATTATTTTCAAATTTGAGTGAATCCAACAGTCTGTATGCATACTAAGTGCTGATTATGTGGTATTGATGTATTATGCTTTCGTAAAGTCTTAGCTCAAAGTTTGAATATGATTTTGGAAATGAATCTGTTACTTGATGTTTGCTTAGTATTAAATGTGAAGACATAACTTGATGAATGCGCGTTTCTTGTAGATTCAAATAATATTTCATTTCATCCACAGGGATTTACCTTGAATTGACTCTTACTTTGTAACCTGGTGTGGTTTCATCTTGGTGTGTATGAATATGCTTTGTTCCTGGTATTTTGAGTACTATTTTTTGTGTATTGTGTATCTAGATATTTGCTATGTTTCTGGTTAGGTTTACTAATTTTCCTTTGGAGAAATGACAGCTAAATTAGTGTTTGATAGCATCTATGTTCACCAACTATCATAATTTGAAAAGACAATTCATGGCAATGCATGTTAATACATCATACTTTAAGTTTTCACCTTAGTTTTTATGTAATTTGTATTTGATTTTTGTTAGAGAAAATGGGATAGCTTTATACTTCATGCTTAAGGAAGTATTATTATCTAAAGTTGTTACACGCCTCTCTGAGGGGCCGTTCCACCTAACAACAAGATGAGCTATATTATTTCCCTCCCTCATCACAAAGACTCTGATAAAGCGTTAAAAGACACTCCTTAGCTTACAAACTTCATCCCAAACAAAAATTTAGGACTAAAGCCATGAACTTTAATCTTAACTTTTCAAAACAAGAACCTCTTACAAATACCCCAAACTTGACCCCACCTGTAGTAAATAACTAAAAGTATCTACCTCAGCTTCACTCACCTTCCACCTTGCACGATGCCACTTCACACAGTAACTAGAGCTTTAAGAATTCCTAGTAGTAACATGTTACATGTTAGTTTCTGTTTGTCTATAGGGATCTACAAAACCTGACTTCATACTTTCAGTGCCGTGATCTTCTTCGGTTATAGGTTTAATGAGTTGTGAATAAATAAATTCAAACATCTAGTTATTGGGTTTGATATTTACATTATAGTTTTAAGTTCGACATGCAGGATTCCCCTAGCGAGTAATAGTATATTTATTTTTTTAAGAGTAGAGTTGTTGGCTATGCAGAACAAGTGATGGTAGTCCTAGATGAATAGTTGACCTTCTGGTTGTTTGTTAGCAATATCGTCCTTGCAGCCTCTGTCTTGAGTGTTATTTTTTATACTATGAGTTGCTCTCCTGCTGTATTTATTATACTATTATCTTTTGCAATTGATCTAATATGCCATCTTTTACATTTATGTACACATGGTAGACTTAACTTTAAAATGTCATGCCCCTTGATTAGGAAATATTGTTAGAACTACCCACTGAATATGTCATTTTGTCAACAAGTACTCGCTTAAAATTTTGATCAAAAAACCCTTAAATTTTAAAAGTTTGAGTAGCATTATCCATTTGTGAATTGAGGCAAGAATCTTCCTCGAATGGCGCTCATTTTAAAATTATTTTAACTCTTAAAATTGGTTTTAACCATAATATATATATATATATATATATATATATATATATATATATATATATATATATATATATATATATATATATATATATATATAGCTTCCCATCCTCTTTCTCATCTTCTCTTCACAAAAACACATCTCAAAATCCAAAGTTTTTAGATCTTGACAACTTAAAGAAGAAGAATGTTAGTGGGTTTTTGTGAAGAGAAGATAAAAAGGAGGTGAGTAGTTATATATATGAGGGTTAGAACCTATTTTAGGAGTAAAAAATAAAATTGAGTCTCACTCACTCACCGGATATTCTTGCTTGAATTCACAAATGGATAGTGCTACTCAAAGTTTAAATTTAAGGGTAGTTTTATATGATAAAATTTTTAATCAGGTACTTGTTGACAAAATGACATATTTAGTGGTAGTTTTTGATAACATTCCCCTTGATTATGCAATTGGGTTGATATGATGATATCCCATCAGGATGGTAACTGTTTATACTCATAGTGTCGGTTACTTCCTTGGACATGCACTCGTTCAATTAGCTCTTAGATTTTCAATATTATCCTGCTTTAATTTTCTCGCCTAACATGCTTAAGGTTTCTGATAGTAGTTGATAGAAACAGAACACAGCAAGAATCTGGCATGTAATAAATGGACTTAACCAAGGACTTTAAACATTTTAATTGATAAGATTGAGTTTTATGGGAGGATTTACTTACAATTTAGGTTTCCTTTCATCAAAATCACCTGTTCTAATAATGATTCTTTGACCGTCTATACAAGTCACTTGTATTTGATATGTTGGTAAAAAAGGAAAAAAAGAAAAAAAAAAAAAGCGCTGGTTTTTAATATTGATCCCCTGATTAATTCATGTCTTGGAGTTTTGAGTGCATTTGAGTCTGTTAACACTAGATAGGAATTGTTTGTACATAACATATCTAGCATTAATACTTTCCAAAGAGCGTATGTGTTCACTATTTCTACTGTTATCATTAATGTTTACTTTTCTAGGATTATACATTTTCCAATTTTCGTCACATATATCTCCATCATTTGCTCTTCTTTGGTTTTGGATAACGATGGACTGATCAACATTGCTCATTAAAATGCCTGAAAATATTATTTATTGTAGGGTAGCAGAAAGTTGTTACCCTTTCGATTAAGATATGGGTTTCTGTTATCGTAATGATAAGGGAGAAAGCTGTTAAGAGGCATCGGGGTAACTTTGATGCTGATAGCTTAAATGTATGACTTAATTAAGCAGCTGTTGCTGGTGAAACTGTTTTTAATGCAATTGGTCATTTTCACAGGTGAATTGGCTTTGCTCGTTGAAGGCCTTGGTGTTGGGAATGAAACTTCTGTAGAAGAGTACACTTTAGAACCATCAGAGGAGACAGAGATTGCTACCGATAAAGACAAGAAAAAGTTATATGGAGCAACAGAAGGCCTTTCTTGGATTGCAAAACCTGCTACTGGACAGAGTACTCTTGGCCTTAGGTCCCGTCATGGAAGCATGGTGAACCAAAGTTTTGTTGACCCTCTTGTGACTCTCTTTGGAAGTGTCCATGAAAAGTTCCCTGAACAAGGAAGTATGAAAAGTATCCATAATTTTGGCAGCATGGTTAGCACTGCAGATGTTGATGCTCACAGAGATCAGTGGGACGAAGAAAACCAAGATGGGGAAGATGATTACGAACCAACAGCTGAGCCAGCAGAAGGGGAGGATTTTGATGATGATGATTTGCATGCTCCATTGATTACACACCAAACAAGCATTTATAAGGAGGATGACGGTATTCCTCCAGTCTCTCATGGTACTGTTATTGACTTGGGTGGTGGAAACATCTGGCAAGGTGCAGGGGAAGATGTATCATCTACAGATATTGGAGGGGGTTGGCAGTTGGCATGGACATTAGAGGGTAGAGAAGGCGAAGATGGACAGAAAGAGAAAGAGTTTAAAAGGGTTTATCTGCATCAGGATGGAGGGATTGCTTCTATGCGTGGTTCTCTTCTTTCACTTCCTGGTGGTATTTTCGAGGGAGATGAAGACTGTGTTCAGGCGTCAGGGCTTGTAAATAATCCTGCACTGAATTCCAAGGAGCTTTTGGATCAATATCCTGTAGGTCCTGCAATGGTCCATCCAACTGAAATTTCTTCTCAAGGACCTAGCTGGAAGGCTCTACTTGAACCAGGAGTCAAGAGGGCATTAGTCGTTGGAATTGGTATTCAAATGCTTCAGCAGGTAAGAAATCCTATACACTTTACTATCTGACTATGAACATCACAGTTTCTTTATATGCTTGCTTGAAAAGGTTTTCATATTTGGTCCCTTTAATATAGCGCCACTTGTCAGTGGTTAGTGGTTAGTGCCATACCCCTCGACCATTTAAATAGATAACAATACGGATATCACCCCAAGACTGCTAGAGGAATTTGACAAAAACGGGGTTAGGGTGTTTAAAATGTATGCTGCCTTACCCTTCTGATACAGATAAATTGGCTGCATTGAACTTTTATTCATTGATCAACAATGTTTTTATCTTACCTTTTTTTTAAAAAGTACATGATGGATTATCCCGCCTTAGCAGGGTATTTCAGATTACCCCTATGATTATAAAGAAGCTGTTTCTGATGACCTGAACCTGATATAACAAGAAACAATCTTTTGCTAATTCACAATAAATAAGAACCATGAAAATTTTAATGAGCTATTATATTGTTGCCTATTATAATCATAATGTATAATAGTGTTGTATCTTTTGTGGGAATAATAACTAAATATGTTCAGATTGGAAATCTTCAATATAATTGGTAGCAATTGTGGTGAGTATTACTCAGGGTAGATTAAAAGAGTAATTTTAAAAATAAAATTAAATACGAACCTTTTCAACAGTGTCCGTCAGATTGGGGAATAATTGTAACCATTGACTTTGTCAATCTTGGGTTTTGTATACATATAAGAAGCAACTCTAGAATATTATAGACTACTATATCTCTTAGCATTGCTTTCATCGGCGGTTCTGGAAAGAGTTTAATGGAGACGATGCACTAATTATGCTGTTGATAGCAGATTATTTGTTTCCACTGTATGTATTATGTAAATAACTACATAAGAAGCTTCATTTGTTATAAATTAAAAACTTCTATTTTATATGTCAGTCATTTTTCTGCAACTCAAATCTATTAGTCTCTTCAGATTCTGTCTACTTTGAATAATCATGCATTTTTACAGAATTTTCTTATTGTTCTTCGATTGTGCAGTTTGCTGGTATAAATGGTGTACTATATTACACCCCACAAATTCTCGAGGAGGCAGGAGTGGGAGTTCTTCTATCTGATCTAGGGATCAGCTCTACATCTGCCTCATTCCTTATCAGTGCACTGACGACCTTCTTGATGCTTCCTTGCATCGCCGTTGCTATGAGGCTTATGGATATCTCTGGTAGAAGGTATGAAACTTTTTGTCACCTAATTATATATCCTGTGACTAACCTCAGTTGTCTATCCTATTACAATTATACTACTTCCGTCCCAGCTTTATGTTTAATATTTACCTAAAAATGGATATCCCAGATCAAAGATAACGTTTTACTTTACCCATGATTTGCCCTAGTTTTTTTTTCTTTTCTTTTCTTTTCTTTTGGGCCCTAAATTGCCCTACCAGCAACACAAGGGAGTACTAATTTGGCACTTAATTTTCATTTTAAGATGCTTTTTATATGATCAATGATAAGTAACATAAATCAGTTCAGGCTTTATGTGCCTTTGTATATATTAATCTAGATAGCATTAGTATATGCTCCCATTTTGTCTATATCGACTGTAAATTTGTAATATCTGCATTTTTATTTTTCAGGTCACTGCTGCTTGCTACTATTCCGGTGTTGATAGCATCATTGGTCATCCTAGTAATTAGCTGCTTTGTTAGCATGGGCAACGTGATTCATGCTGTTATCTCAACCATTTGTGTCATTGTATACTTCTGCACTTTCGTCATGGGTTATGGACCCATACCGAACATATTATGTTCTGAGATCTTCCCAACTCGAGTCCGTGGTGTTTGTATTGCAATCTGTGCCTTAGTTTTCTGGATATGCGATATTATTGTCACCTACAGCTTGCCTGTGATGCTTACTTCTATCGGCTTGGGCGGCATCTTCGCTTTGTATGCTGTCGTTTGTGCCATCTCTTTGGTGTTTGTCTACCTGAAGGTCCCAGAAACAAAGGGTATGCCTCTAGAAGTTATCACAGAGTTCTTTACGGTTGCATCTCAATTGAAAGCTGCTGACTGAGTAGAAAGAACTGATGATAAGTGAGCAAACAATTGAGCAGAGAAGTCATTTTCTTGTAGAGATTAGTTGATTGTCATGATGGAACTAATTTCGATTCAAATACAGTTAAATATAGAAAATGAAAGCTTTTCTGTTTATCAATTTTGTATTCTCCCTTAAAATTTTACATAATGATCATAATAATTTACATCCTTTCCCATTTATTTGCACCATATTGTAGTTCCTTTCATTGTATTAGTTAGTAATTGTGGTTGTTTTGAGAGGTATTAGGGAACGATAACCCTTCCGTATGGTCGTACTTAATTATATTATTAATGATCAGATTTTATCAAACTAAGGTTAAGTTACGAACATGTAAACATCTAACATGTTGGGAACTTTAGAAGTTGTAACTACTGTCATACTGTTTTTCCAAGGTGAAGCAGACTATCCAAAGTTCAGGGTTTTTTTTTAATTTTTTTTTTTTTTGCAATGCACCAATCGCTAGCATACTGGGCACCTCAAGTTGATAGCTTGAAACAAGGGAGGCTTCATGGTATTTTAAAAAAAAAAAAAAAACAGTTTGGAGAGATTAGTCGAAACTCAATATGATGGCGGTGTGGCCAAGGGAAGCAATGTTGTGAGCAGATCCAGAGTTAATTGAGTTGTCATATATATGTTAAGTTGGGGTTCATTTATACCTCTTTGCTGCTGGATGTCCTGCAATGCTGCATCCATTGCCTTACAGTGGTGAAGGATATCAAGTGTGATCGCGACAACTGTAGACATTGCTACTTCAAGGAGGGAGCGTGGGGGAAGATTTAAGAGTATTGATTTTGAATAATATCCACTAAAATAATTACAAAATTTTAAAATAAAGACTTGGTTAATTTAAACTTGGATATTACAAGTTCCCACGATTACCTCTTCCCAGCAGACGACTAGTTTGCTCTAATTTTCATCCATATGATCCTTATGTTTCTAAATTCTCCATTTTCTTCCAAATTCTTCTACAAATTTTCTGGGTTTTCATTCTTTTATTTTTTATTACTTTTATAACTAATTGATCCAATTGTTGGATAGGTTGATATCAAAGTAGACAATTGTGAGCTCTTACAAAATGAAGGGTGTTGTACTTGTTGCACTGGCTGCTACCATTGGTAATTTCCTACAAGGGTGGGATAACGCGATGATTGCTGGTAACATAGCTTCCCTTTTTGCTGTAGTCTGCAGATAAAGATTCATTCTTTATTGTCAACATTTTTGAAGTATGTTTTGGTTGAAGTTGCTTGAATTATCTATTCATTATTAGTTTTCTTAAGCATTGTTATTTATTCATGTTTTGTTATTTATTTATGTTTTAGAATATTTAGTCTTTTGAATATTGTGAAACTTGATTTTCTTACATGATTTTCATGTAGGGGCTATTCTTTACATCAAGAAAGAACTTGAACTATCGACTTCCATGGAGGGACTTGTTGTGGCAATGTCTCTAATTGGAGCCACAGTTATCACAACATGCTCGGGGGCAATATCAGATTGTGTTGGTCGGCGTCCTTTGCTCATACTGTCTGCATTATTCTACTGCGTGGGAAGTTTGGTGATGTTGTGGTCACCTAATGTCTATGTTTTGCTTTTAGCAAGGTTGTTGGATGGTTTCGGAATAGGGTTGGCCGTGACCCAAGTTCCTGTCTATATTTCCGAGACTGCACCACCAGAGATTAGAGGATCTTTAAATACACTTCCTCAGCTTACTGGTTCCGGTGGAATGTTCCTGTCATATTGCTTAATCTTCGGAATGTCACTCATGGCATCACCTAGCTGGAGAATAATGCTTAGTGTTCTTGGAATCCCTTCGGTTTTTTATCTTGTGTTTGCATTCTTCTACTTGCCTGAATCACCAAGGTGGCTTGTCAGCAAGGGAAGGATATCTGAAGCCAAGAAGGAATTAATGAGGTTACGTGGAAATATCGATGTCACAGGTGAATCTCTTACTTAAATTTTTGTTTTATAGTAAATGGCTTACCATAGTTTTGTGACTTTTGTCCTTGTTTTTGGATTCAAGTAGTTTCTAAAGAATCTAGCTGTAACATTCAAGAAGACCTACAGGTTACTTATTTGTCAAATGTGTATGAATCCAATAGTCAGATATGCATGCATACTAAGTGCTGATTAAGTGGTATTGATGTATTATGCTTTCGCGAAGTCTTAGCTCAAAGTTTGAATATGATATTGGAAATGAAACTGTAACCTTTTGTTTGCTAAGTATTAAACGCGAAGACTTAAGTTGATGAATGTGCATTACTTGTAAACTCAAATAATAGTTCAATTCATCCAGAGTGATTTAGCTTGAATTGACTCTTGGTTTCATATTTTCATCTCAATCTATGAATTTTTTAGTTCCTGATCTTTTGAGTTTTTTTTTTTTTGCTCTGTGTATTGACTATCTAAATATTCGCTATCTAAACATAGTAGTCTTAACTTTGAAATACCACGCCCTTTGATTTAGCAACCGGGTTGCTATCCCACCAGGATGGTCACTCCCAGCCAGGAAAAACCTCTTCTTTGAGCCTAGAATTGAATGGCAGGACTCGATGAATCCAGATAAGAAGACGAGCTTGACATTCTCTCAGTGTCTTTACTTCCTTGGATATGCTCTTAAATTCTCCATACTATCCTGCTTAAATGTTTTTGTTTAACATGCTAAGGAATTCTGGTAGAAACAGAACACAGCAAGAAGCTGGCATGTAATACATGGACTTATACTAGAACATTTAACAATTTAATTGTTAAGATTGAGTTTAATGGGAGGATTTAGGGCCTGTTCATATTTACTTATTTTCAGTTCAGTTAAGCTCCAATCAGTTTAGTTCAGTTCAGTTCAGCTCCAATCAGTTCAGTTCAGTTCAGCTCTTAATTTCCCTCTCTCATAAAATATTCATTTCAACTTAGTTCAGTTCAGTTCAGTTTAGCTCCAATCTGTTCAGTTCCAATCAGTTCAGCTCAGTTCAGTTCAGTAAATATGAATATGAACAGACCCTTACTTACAATTTAGATTTCCAACCATCAAAATCACCTGTTCTAATTCAAGATACAAAATATCCTAGAAGATTCTTTGACCGTCAATATGAGTTACTCAATAGATATGCTGTTTTAAACGATAGGAATTGTTTCTACGTAATGTATCTAGCACTAATACTCTCCAAAGAGCGTATGTGTTCAGTCACTATTTATACTGCTATTATTGCTATATTTAAAAGGCATTGGGGTAACCTTGATGCCGGTAGCTTAAATTTATGACTTGATTAAGCAGCTGTTGCTGGTGAATCTGTTTTTAATTCAATAGGTTGCTTTCACAGGTGAATTGGCTTTGCTACTTGAAGGCCTTCATGTTGGGTATGAAACTGCAGTAGCAGATTACATTATAGAACCATCAGAAGAGTACAACATTCGCTACCCTCAGCCTGCAGATTACATTTTAGAACCATCGGAAGAGTACAACATTCGCTACCCTCAGCCTGCAGTTAACATTTTAGAACCATCAGAACAGTACAACATTCGGTACCCTCGGCCTGCAGAACTTGATGCTCTCAGAGATCAGTGGGGTGCTTTCAGAGATCAGTGGGACGAAGATGGGGAAGATGATGAAGGGGAGGATTTTGATGATGATTTGCATGCTCCATTGCTTGCTTCTATGCCTAGGTCTCCTCTTTCACTTCATGGTGGTATTTTCGAGGGAGAGGAAGACTATGTTCAGGGGTCAGGGCTTGTAAATAATCCTAGCTGGAAGGCTCTACTTGAACCAGGAGTCAAGAGGGCATTTGTTGTTGGAATTGGTATTCAGATGTTTCAGCAGGTAAGAAGTCCTACAAACTCCTACTATCTGACAATGAACATCACAGTTGATAAAAGTCTACGTTTGATAAAATTAAAAAACTCAAATTGAGCATTTTCTGCAACTCAAATTGAGCATTCGCTTTTGTTCTATTAGCTACTCTAGATCTCGTCTACTTTGAATCATCATGCATTTATACATAATTTTCTTACTGTTCTTTGATTGTGCAGTTCGCTGGTATAAACGGTGTTCTATATTACACCCCACAAATTCTCGAGGAGGCAGGAGTGGGAGTTCTTCTATCTGATGTAGGGATCAGTTCTACATCTGCCTCATTCCTTATCAGTGCACTGATGACCTTCTTGACGCTTCCTTGCATCGCTATTACTATGAGGCTCATTGATACCTCTGGTAGAAGGTATGCAAAATCTTGTCACCTAATTATGCACCCTGTGACTAAACTTAGTTATCTATTCTAATACTACTATGCTACAGCCGTCCCATCTTAAAGTGTAATATCTGGGTTTTGTTTTTCAGGTCACTGCTGCTTACCACAATTCCCGTGTTGATAGCATCATTGATCATCCTAGTAATTAGCTGCTATGTTAGCATGGGCGACGTGATTCATGCTGTCATCTCAACCACTTGTGTCATTGTATACTTCTGCACATTCGTCATGGGTTATGGACCCATACCAAACTTATTATGTTCTGAGATCTTCCCAATTGGAGTCCGTGGTGTTTGTGTCTCAATCTGTGCCTTAGTTTTCTGGATATGCAATATTATTGTCAACTACACCTTTCCCATGATGCTTACTACTATCGGCTTGGGGGGCATCTTCGCTTTGTATGCTGTTGTTTGTGCCATCTCTTTGGTGTTTGTCTACCTGAAGGTCCCAGAAACAAAGGCTATTCCTCTAGAAGCTATATCAGAGTTTTACAATTGTATTTTACATTAATGCTGCTGACTGAAGGCGAGTAGAATGAATTGATCATAAATGAGCAAAAATTTGACCAGAGAAGTCATTTTCTTGGAGAGATTAGTAATTTTCAGGATGAAAGTAATTTCGATTCAAATACAGTTAATTTTGATCACGACCCTGCTTCTTTGACATTCCTCAGAGCTTTTTAAATTGTCTGAAATACTAAAACATCTACGGAGTTAAATGTTAGGAACATTAGAAGTCATAACTACTGTCACACTTTTTTTCTACAGTGAAGCAGATTTCCATTGTTCATGGACTTTTATGCATTGCACGCACCAATTGCTATAAATACTGAGCAGCTCAAGTTGATAGCTTGAAACAAGGGAGGCTTCATGGCATAAAAAAAAAACACCCCGTTTGGAGAGATTGGTCGAAACTCAATATGAAGGTGTGGCCAGGGCAATCTTGTGAGCAGATCCAGAGTGAATGTTCAGTTATCATACTGATGTTAAGTTGGGGTTCATTCATCCCTTTTAGCTTCTAGATCTCCTACATCCATTGCCTTGCACTTGTTGCTCGACGTCAGGCTCTCACTCATCAAATGTAGTTGAAGTATAGACTTCAACATGCTTACAGGAAATCAAGTGTGAACGTGAAAACTGTACACATTGCTACTTGGCGCTCAGAAGACTTAAATACCAGTTCTTCAAAAAGGGAGAGTAGGGGGAGATCTTAAGGGTATTGTTTTGAGTAACGACCACTAAATTTTGTAACTTAATGAGTATTTATGTACACTGCTGTATGAACTATAAAATGCTTCAGCTCTGACATGCAAAATTTTGCAATAAAATAAAACATTTGGTGATTTTGGTCAGGGATAGAGAGGGGAAGCAGCATACTCAGACTTCATCTTCGGGGGATGCTGCATTGCTGTCTGAATTCTCGGGAAGAGGATCTGATTTGGGAGATTTAGACTCATTTAATTGGCCATTTTGAGTCCTGCTTTCTGCACGATCATGTGATTTCGACTGAGTCCTGTAGGCCCTTTCAAAATCTTTGGCATTCACAGGATCAATAACTAACTTGTTGAATTTTTGCTCCTGCAAAATGTGTCATAACTTGTTTAGGATTCTGAACAAACAGAAGGCATATTTTGGCAACGAATAGCAAAAGAATGATAAATTGAAGTGGGCGATTTGATACACCAGACTGCCAGAGCATCATTAATAAGAGTATAGAAAAGTTTACAATAAAACTCAGTAGAGACAAAATAATGGTGCACGTAAACATCGAGTGGCTTGTATCGTCTATTGGAACAAGTTCAACCATTCAACAGAAAATTTCTAATGCAATCTACTACGACAAAATAATAAATTGACAACAGAACTTGAACAATCCCTCTCTCTTGACAACTGACAAGTGTACTTTTAAAATAATTTCAGAAGTAAAACTATTCTTAAGCCAAAAGAAGCAGAGAGGAAATATTAATTCCACTAACCATAGCCTTGTACAGCAAAATTCTAGCTTAAAATGTTTAATGGTTATCAGATGTCAATTTGTAGGTCAATTAGGTCTACAGTATTATCCAGGTCAAACTCTCAGGCATATTCCAGGTTATAAAAAAGCACAGATCTTGGTGATATATGTCAGATGTTTAGGCATTAGATCACTTAGTCTAAGCTTTTAGAAAGGTATAGTTTCACATATTAGTAGCCGTCTTTGGTAATCTTTACAAATGGGAATGCTACTCAGATTCTTCATCTACATCAAGGTACCTGTATCCAGATTCCAACTCTTGGATAAACCCTGATACATCTTTGACGTATCAACCAAGTACAAAAACCTACACATAATAAGTGGGACACTGACACAGTGGCATAATTGCTAGAAGAGTAACAGAGAGCTCATTCATATTCAAACAAAAGATTTTATGACTGCTACAAATTTGGTTTTCTACTCTGCCAAATAAATGTGACAAGAACTTACACCCTGCAAGGCCTCCAGCTTCTTCTGCAATGCCTCGTGCTCAGCCTGAATGCGAAATGGAACTCCATGCTTTTGATACACATTGTTCTGTGCAAGGTCTTCATCAATATCGCTAACAGTAGTTGCAAAAGGATGATTTGCTGGAATCCACCTGACTGTATCAGGGTCAACATCAGGTGGAATTTCATCCCCTTCCTTAAGAAACACCTTAGGGCGCTTCCACTGATATGCTCTTGATCTTCTTTTCTGATGGATTGCTCGCTGTTCTTCTGTCAGAGTTACTGGGGCCAACCGATAAACCGTTCCACACATCTCTACTGAAGTATTACTGTTGCTTACTTTGATCATAGGATTATTAAATGGGTCTTCATATTTGAGAGGTTTGGAGCTGTAAGAATACATTGCAAGGAAACAGACATCAATTACATGCATCACTTGCACTCTTAAGTCATTGCAACATTCCCTCATTCAAATATAATAGGCCAAATGACTTCTAGCATCAAACCTAAAAACTATACAAAAATTGATAATATGTAGATTTTTCTAAGTTGCATCTAACAAGGGTTAAGAAGAAAGAACAAGGTATTAAGCTTTACAAAGAATAGGCACAAAAAACATGAAAACACATTCAGTGCTAGCTTATGGAGAGGTAACAAAGGCTAAATAGTAGAGATCAGACTCATACATGCCTCTTCTATCAGATCTGAGCTGGCCACGTCTAACAAGATCTGCCACAGAGCCAGGACTAGTGTCCCTCAACTGTCTTGCCACATAAATTCTCACAGCAATAATCAGGCACGTAGTTGCAATAAAAAATCCAAGTATTAAGTTTACTCCAGAATGTTTATTGATCTGATAAACAAAGAATCATCAGGTTAACTGCTGAAAGATCAAAATTTAATGCAGCAATGCAAAAATCTTATGTCACCTTAATGTCCTTAAATGAAGAGCATATTGTTGTACACGAATAGAATATCACCGATATAATTTGACAAGTTCAATTCAAGATGGCAATAATAAGTGATTATACATCCACTCACATTAAAAGCCAAGGCAAGCACCATAACTCATAAAATATACATTAGGAGCTAGGAGTGCAAAAGCTTAACACAGCTATATCTACAAAATGATTGGTAGTTAATTCTACAGAAATGACCGGACTTGTAAACTTCCATTTCCTTTTCCCTTCACATCTTTGTTTATCGCCCTAAATCAACCTCATACCATGTACAATGGGGGAATTAATGCGACTGGATTCAAGAGATACACTTTCCAAAAAAAACTTGCATAAAAGACTATGTTATTGCATCACACACATTCATTCCAACATCTCTTCCCCTGTAAAAAGCTGAAAGTATTACTCAAAAATTGATAACTAATATCATCACTTCCATGGAATGACACAACCTCGAATCCCCATCGATATGTAGTGGGGAGCATGAGAGTTTAGGTAGAAATAAATTTTAGACAAGATTAACAAGAACATCCATCCTCGCCACGAAATTAAACTCCTAAAGAGATTCAACAGCTTCGAAAGTAGCCACCCACTAGCTTTAAAGATTTGCAATAAAAACACCATTTACCATTTCCGAATCCTTGCTACAATTACTGACACGAAACTATCATAATTCATGAGTACAATAGCTCCCCACCCCAACCAGGCTGCATTGCATTCGACGCTAATAAGTTCATGCTATCAACTTATCAAGTACCCAATTACTAGTTACAACCTAGATTTTGAGGTTTAAGACTACATAATAGAAAGTGCAAAACTCCTCCTTTCCTAAACTATTATCAACAATTTACAGACTATTAACTATCCTCATTCCAAGTACCATACCAAAACATATAATAAACAAAAAAAATAATTCTCCAATTCAATTCTTAGAAATTCTCAACAACATTTTAGCACAAATTAATAAATAATCGAGCATATTATATGATTATAACAGAAACTGACCACGACAACAACAGGAGGAAGAGAAGCAACAGCTTGTTGAAGTTTCTGGAAAGATTTTCCCAAATTGAAAGCACTTCGCTCACTTGGACCAGAATCGGACTGAGTCGAAACGGTGGAATCGGTAGTAGAAGCAGTCAACACGAGTTTTCCGCCATGATTTCTGGAACGATTGAGCTTGAAATTGGCATAATCAAATCCAAGTTCAGTTCTGAGCTCAATTCCAACGCCATTGCTACAAATTCGATGCTAATTGAAGAAACAGAAAAAATTGCAGGCAATTCAATATCAATTAGTATTATGAAATTCGAAATCAAAGAGGAGGAGAGAGAAAGAAAGTGGTACCTGAGAAGAGAGAGAGTGGAATCGGAGGGAGCACAAAGACGCCATTTTTGGCAGGGAAGAAGCCAAAACATTCACATTCACATTCACAAACATCATCGAAATTTTGGAATTAGATTTTTAGGGCTTTTATTTTTATTTTTATTTTTATTTTTTAAAAAGGATCAGCAATTTTTACTCAAGAACACTTGTAAAATTTTTAGAGTGAATTTTATGGTACAATTCCACATTATATTGAAGAACTAGATTAAATTATTTAAATAATTTTATTATTATGCATATCAAATAATTTTGTTATAAAAAAAAATTAATTTTATCATTTGTGTAAAAATGAGTGACAAATATTTATATTTATTTTTATTTTTTTTGAAACCAAGTGGAAAATATTTTTTAATAAAAAATGTATAGTGTAGATTAAAATAATAATTATTAATTAGTCAAAAAATAATAATAATAATTATTATTATTATTTAAAAAATTAAAATAATAATGACAATTAATGACATCATCAATAAAAATGGAGGGAAAATTTTTAATGTGAGAATAAGACCCTGTTTGATTCACCTTAATTTTGCTGAACTGAAATTATTTTTACTGAACTAAACTTATTTTTACTGAACTGAACTTAATTTTACTGAACTGAATTTATTTTTACTGAACTTAAATTATTTTTACTAAACTGAAAATATTTTTACTGATTTTCTATTATAATTCTTTTTTAAGAAAACTGAATTTTACTGAACTGAACTTATTTTTACTGAACTAAAATTATTTTTACTGAACTGAAATTAATTTTACTGAATTGAACTTATTTTTACTGAACTGAAATTATTTTTACTTAATATTATTTTTTTTAAGGTGAAAAAAACAGGGCCTAACACGTAGGATAATTTAAGGGATGATGATGTCAGCAATGTTTTGTTTAAGTAATAGTTAATAGAAGTGAGAATTCCAAATTAGATCATGTGCACAAGTAGAAGCATGTCTAGATTTATCGCCATAGAATACGGTAAATACAAATTAAGTGACAAATTTACAACTTACTCCGTAGTCAACAAAGATAATCAATCAACAATTTTATTTTTATTTTTTTCATAATAAAATCAACATATATGAGGTTGAACCGAGTATAAGCTTATCACGTGATTTTATCATGGTGATAAACTTGTACCTTCTTCCCAAATAGCACACCAATACAAGTTCAAAGTACGAGTACTACACTTTCCAATACATAAATGATACAGTATTAAACAATTATTATACAAAGTTGTCATTTTACAATAAAAACCTCTAATCATGTATTCGTAAAAGTAGTTGGTTAATACTACTATGTATGTTTATTCAAAATATCTATAAGCCTATAAAAGGCAAGAGATGAGCATACCACAACACCAACATTGATAATGATATTATTGATGCATACACGCATTATTGTTAACAAGTTCGTGGAAAGCAATCAGTATAACATAGACTAAAGTTTAAGATGTTGAAATAACATAACCCCTTTACCCCAATAACAAGCAGCTTTTGCTTATTTTGTAGTTTTGATCCTGAAGATACCCTCAAATTAAATGCTGCATTTTAGATCCTTCAGAATCTCTTGTTTGTGCACACTTTGGGAGAAAAAGATCCTTAGCAACCATGGTTCCAACATCTAATCACAAATGAGCAAGTATAAACCCATTACAGCGTGTTATTTGGTAAATGTGTGCACACTTGCTAATTTGTATGAGATACTCATATGAGTCCACGCACAATATCAATTTACTTGCATCGCAACATATATCATTTGTTGGAGCATTTCCAATAATAATGTTATGTGTGAGAGGTTATCTCGCATAGAAAGAATACGAAAGTGATGTATTGTTTATATATTGTAAGCAATTGGATATGAGTTATCAGATGGGCCTTAGTGGTGTTTTACACAAGTGGGCTAAGTGGCTTAGGTATCCCAAAAACGTGTTCTTTTAGGAAAGTGCTCTTCGTACACGCCTCGATCCTCTCGGTAACACTAAGCTCTGCACTAACCTTTCCACATTGAAGGTTTCCCTTCTCTGAATCTTCGAAGATACGATATTCCAAATCAGCCAAAATTTAATCATAACCAATACATGTATGAACATTACTTTCCCTTATTTAGGAAAGCCTCTACATAAGGAAAAATGAGATAGAGGGGTTGAAAAAATACAGAAGAATGTGAAGAAAGATATGTAACAATAAGAGTACAAAGTATTTGTACACAGGTTATCACGGCGTTGTGTTTTCCAGGGAAGCAGGCTATACAGTCATTTGCTTCATATATTGGCTTACTGTTGGCAAACAGATCAGCATATTGCAAAATTGTTAATCCTTCTTGGGATCGATTAGGAACGGAATAACATCTGTTAACTGCTTTTCTCTGGTGGAATTACTTGCAAGAGCTCAACGTTTAGATTAAATGTAGCTCCAGGCTGCAGTCACAAGGCAAAGAGGATGAACATAGCCCGTATTGAAGATAAATGTCAGAATTTCAAAACACTGAACCAAGAAATTCAGTTCATGCTATAGTCTTAATAAATATTTTAAATGACAAACAGACTGATGTTTCTTTTGTTCATTATCTAAGTTCAATATGATGGGTTATGGAAAGTGAATCATAGCTGTTTTCTATGTATTCAACCAAATTTGAACATTCTCACAAATGCAAAAAAGCCAAAGAAAGAGAAGTCTAAGTGAGATGAAAATTTGACATGATTTTAATAATAAACTCTAATGTCAGCTTTTGTTTCAAATGAATCATGCAATAAAATTGAACAAAGCTGATCAAATAATGCAAGTACTTATAAAAAAATTACCGGAATCTCATTTGACCCTTTCTTCCCATATCCGAGTTCTGGGGGAACTATTGTGTAAAATAAGCGGAATTGTGTTTTTGGTTTCCAATTTCTGTCCGTTTATTACTCTTGGTTATCATTACATTTATACACAAAGAGCTATGATAAATAAGGAAATACAGCTAAGCAGAATATATTCCTAACATAATTACAACCTAATTAACTCCTTTGATTAAGGAGAATCACTTATTTCCTACACTCCCCCTCAAGTTGGGCATCCAGTACTCCAATGCCTAACTTGCTAAGTGCTTCTTTAAAGGCCTCAGAGTTGACCGCTTTGGTCAAGATATCTGCCAGTTGATCTTTTGATCGAACAAATGGAAGTTCAACAATTCCCCCTTCTAATTTCTCTTTGATGAAGTGTCGATCAATTTCTACATGTTTCGTTCTATCATGTTGCACTGGATTTTCCGAAATCCTTATAGCTGCTTTGTTATCACAAAACAGTTTACATGCTGTCTTCTGAGGAAAGCCAAGTTCATTCATTAGCTTCCGAATCCATAGAATTTCAGTTATCCCTTTTGCAATTCCTCTGAATTCTGCTTCTGCGCTTGATAAGGCTACAACATTCTGCTTCTTACTTCTCCAAGTGACCAGATTTCCTCCTACCAAGGTAAAGTACCCTGAAGTCGATTTTCTACCATCCCGGTCTCCTGCCCAATCTGCATCAGTGTATGCAACTAAATCCAGGTTATCATTCTTGTCAAAGTAGATCCCAGTGGTGCTAGTATTTTTCAGGTATCTCAATATTCTCATTACAGCTGTCATGTGGTGAACTTGAGGCATATGCATAAATCTACTCACAACCCCTACTGCGTAGGCAATATCTGGCCTTGTGTGGGCTAGATAAATGAGTTTCCCTACAATCTTCTGATACTGTTCTCTGTTGGTTGCTTTCTCTCCTTCTAAGATTTGAAGTCCATGATTTGCAACAATCGGTGTTTCTGCTGGTTTACACCCTAACATTCCTGTTTCGGCCAATAGATCAAGTATATATTTCCTTTGATGAATAAAGATCCCTTGTTTAGATCTTAGTACTTCTATTCCTAGGAAATATTTCAGGTTACCCAAATCTTTCATTTCAAATTCCTGGAACAGTTTTTTCTTCAAATTAGTTATTTCTTCCTCATCGTCACCAGTAATGATCATATCATCCACATAGATGATTAAGCATGTGATTTTTCCCTTTGTTTTCTTCAAAAATAGAGTATGATCAGAGTTACTTTGAGAGTACCCAAAAACTTTCATGGCCTTTGTAAATCTCCCAAACCATGCCCTAGGAGATTGTTTTAAGCCATATAGAGCCTTCTTCAATCTGCACCCTTCTCCTACTTCAAATGTTTCAGCATATCCTGGGGGAGCTTCCATGTAGACTTCTTCAGCAAGGTTCCCGTGAAGGAAAGCGTTTTTTACATCGAATTGATAAAGAGGCCAATCTTGGTTTGCTGCAATAGAGAACAGAACCCGAATAGTATCTAATTTTGCTACTGGTGAAAAAGTCTCCGAATAGTCAATTCCATATGTCTGAGTGTAACCTTTTGCTACCAGCCTTGCTTTGTGTCTCTCAATTGTACCATCTGCCCGGTACTTCACAGTAAAAACCCACTTGCACCCCACAGTTCTTTTTCCCTTTGGGAGAACACATTTCTCCCAAGTTTCATTCTTCTCTAGAGCCAAGTATTCATCTTCCATAGCCTTTCTCCAATCCTTACTAGCAAGAGCTTCTTCCACTGTTTTAGGAATCTCAGTAGAGTATAGGGAAGCTGTAAATGCGATAGCATTACTGGCAAGATTCTCGTTGCTGATTTTTCCTATAGGATATCTGGATCGGGAATCCTCATATTCTGGATCATACCTCTTTGGAGGAACTCCTCTAGTTCTCCTAGGAGGTAACTCATATCTGTTCGGACAATTTTCACTAGGAACAACAGGATCAGTTATAGGTAAATCACAAAGGTCAGAATTTTCTGTGTTTACCTCACTTGATATAACTACATCCTCGGTTGGATGCTCAGTAGGTGAATCTGGTGTGGACTGAAGAGGAGATGAGGGAACTGTTACCTCTGGAGAAGCAACATCGGTGGTACTGTCTACTTGGGTTGTTGGATCCTCAAGGTCCATCACTTCTGGATATGTCAACCAGCTAAGGTCATCACTACTAGTCTCCCCCTGAGGACCAGGCTGGGTGTAATAATAGGATTTTTCAAAAAACTCACAGTCAAGGGTAGTGTGTATTTTCCTTGTAGTCGGATCATAGCATCGGTATCCTTTCTGGTGAACCCCATATCCGATAAAGACACATTTAATAGCCCTTGGTTCCAGTTTGTTTCTATAAATCTTTGGTAGGTGGACATATACAACACATCCAAACACTCTTGGTGGTAGGGAGTGAGAGGATGGGATGGTGGTGTGTGAAGAAAG